TTGCCTTCTGGTTAATGTTTCATTCTTGCTCTTTCCAGAGAATTTTATACACTTTATCCTTTTTTTCTGTTACCAAGATTTTATTTAACTCAAAAGCTCTAATTAATGTTATTGGCACATTTGTGGTTTCTTTTCCTTTGAAACTTTGTTTAAAGTTGTATATGACCAGAACCTGTATAAGTGTACAATGTAAATTTTCAGAGTAAAGTTCTGTTGAATACTTGGTTATTTTTATAAAGGTCATCCATATTTTGCATCCTTGGTGTTAATGTAAAGGTGGTTTCTGTCTTTACAATGTAATCCATGACAAACTAATTCACGAGATCACTCAAGTCATCATGCAGATGGTGGTGATAGTAACTGCAGTATGTCCTCTCCTCCCCCAACCAAAAAAAAAAAAATGGAGTAAATTCTTGAGTTTTTATTTATTTATTTATGGGTACCTAGAATTATGGTTCAACAGTAATAATAATATACATTGACAAAAAGATCGTATACACTCTGTATTGAGATTTATCATTTTTAAATACTGTGCTCATTAGATTTTTAGAACATTGCTTATGAAATACACATGCTTAAATGGTTTGTGTGTTTGCAGCTGCCATATGTGTTTCTAAGTTACATTTTTATGCTTCCAAAATGATTAAGATCAAGTAGAAATGATTAATGTTCTTATTTTGGTTTGCTGAATTAACTTTTTTGTTTATTCATATACATCAGCGGTTTCTGAATTAATTTGTGTTTTCATTTTTCAGGTCAGAAATTTTTTGGAGAGATGCAAAATATGGTTCAAGAATTAAAGAACTTAGTTTTTTAAGTTTTTTCAATTTTTAATATATGTAAGCACAGATAATTTTTTTTTATTTAATTCCTTTGTATATAGTTTTGAATATTTAATTTCCATTTATGAAATATATGACGTTATTCTATTCAATATGTGGTTATGATTCAAAATATAGTATATAGTGTGTATTACATTATTCAAATGTGCATACAAAAATAATATTGATTATTTTTTAAATATGTAGCACTTTTTTTTATCACAGATTTTATTAGTTATTAATCACACTTAAAAGATGTGATCTAAATATTTTTAAGCACACTTAAAAAGTGTGATTAAAAATGACCATTTTTAATCACACTCCTAAAGACCACACTTTAATAAAACTTAAAAGGTGTGATTAAAAAACATACATCACACCAAAAAAGTGTGATCTTTATCTATATTTGTAGTAGTGCGTCATCACCAAAGTTGCCTCGGCTCGGGAACTTGGGTACGGAAGGGGAAGGTCATGCAATGAGCACCCCCGCTCGCCCAATCAAAGATCGGCCACTACTAAACATGATATCTTGTCTTTGAAAACACATGTGTTCTTATTCCGATTATCAGCTAGAATTACTATGTGATGCGCACAACATACAAGTATAGACTGGATCACCTAAGTTGGAACAAAACATCTCATGTTTGTTTTTTAAAGCGGTTTGCTACTCGTAAGTAGGCTAAAATGTGGATTTTGCCACCCTCAAGTGGGCTTAGGAAAACATGATTTTGCCA